AAGGAAACATCATACTACAATAGAACACAGAAAAATAACTCATCAACAAGGAAAAACAAAAACCACATTCACATCTTACATTATGATCTTATCAACAAGAAAAAACGAATTTGTACCTTATACTATGATTGTCTATGTTTTTCTTTAACCTTGGGTTGCTGGGAAATCTCTGTGTTTTTGGTCTGCATTTTTTTTTTAACAAATCGAATTTGAGCAGAATATATTAAGATTCACAGAATCCAAAAATCATGGGCAGAGGTAATGGACAGTTTGGTTCCCTCATAACATACAAACCCTTTAACTACGTTCTTGACACATGCTGAACCCCCACCTAAGCACTTGTGAAGGGCTTTGGGGTTCAGAGGAGCGTGTGGGTTCCCTGCCTTCCAGGAGCCCAAGTACCCCCAGGGAGAGGGGGTGTGACAGGAAAATCAGACCTGGGTCCTGCCTTGCAGGGCTTAAGTGACACGGGAGACATACATGGCAGCATCCATTTGTCAATTCCTCATCTCTCTACTCAAGGGACATCCCGGTGAAGAAAGGCTGAACAGGGAGCAAGTACAGAACTTTCCCTGAAGCAACCGAAAAGCAAGCTCTCCAAGCCTGTTCTCAGCTGGAGGACTGTGTTAGCCGCTATGTCTAGAGACTGAGAAGGCGGTCCAGCCTCTCACTCTCATTTCATCTAAAGAAAACCAGCAAGTGGTGAAATGATTAAATTCATCATTCGCTAGAGAAAATACTGACAAAAATACCATAAAATTGATACATTTCTATTTCTTTGCATAATAATACTCTTGATTTGGCCTCTAGGTTTCATTCTCATATTATTCATTTCTCTATGATTTAAAATCGTGATGTCACCAAATGCAGTAGACAGTAGTTATAAATGCTAATTTACTTGGGAAACAATAGGAATATTTTTCATGAAAGAATATAAAAAGGAAACTTTATTTAAAGGCAAGTATTTAAAAATTTAAGCTTTAAATTATTCATCAGCAAGCAACTTCAAGAGATCCGTCAATCCTCTTTTATATGGAATTTGTCACACTTTTTGTTCATTTATATCAGCTGATGAAGCACACTGCTCTCTAATGAAAGGAGTTCCCTCCATTTTTCAAGAAAATATTCAAAATCCCACTTAGAACTTTTCAAAAAGCTCACCCATTGAAAGTGTTACATTTTCAGAGCCCACGTTTTGAATGCTTCTGAATCTATCTGCCCCTTTTAAGAGTAAAATCTGTTGTTGACATTTGCCTGTGTGTCCTGACCCACCCTTTGGAATACACACTCCTAAATATTTCCCCTAAATATTGTACCCCAACTTGTTAATAAAATTCACCAGCAAAGATCTGAAATAGTAATTTTGTTATGAGCTGTACTCATCAACGTCAAAATCCAGCACTGTTTTCAGGATCCATTATCCTGCAAACTGTCATCACAACTGCATCTGTGGTCACAGCATTTTAATAAAGGCCTAGTTTAAATGCATGTTCCTTAGGATATCTGGGTCAAGTTAACAGGCTGGGTGATTCCAAGCTTGCATTTTATCTTTGACATAAAAACTGTATCATTCATATCACAGACACACACACACACACACATTCTGTCTGTACACTCCCTCCTGGAAGGTTATTGATCACATCACGACAATGAACCTACAATAACCATAGTTCATAGAAATACTTCAGCCAAATTATGCTAGAAACTTTCGAGGAGAGAAACATGGGCGTGGGGAGACAGGGAGTTGGCACTTTTGCTGTTCATCTTTGTTTGTTGTTTGAAGATTTAACATGACCAAGTATCACTTTAGTGAATAATGATGAGTGACAGGCATAATCTGAAGTCACATTCAACAGGAGTTGGGTTCACTTAGAGCAAGAGTGAGGTGTGGGGGTTCCGAGGTTACATTTAACCTGCAGAGAATTCAGAAGAGACGGAGGACGCGACTCATGACAGGGGCATCATGAGGGTACTCAGCGGCCCAGGGGCTGCTATAAACCATAAGGAGTCCGAAGTGTCGGAGGGTATAGTTTTAGGATGATTGATAAGTACATCCATAATTAATAGTTGCATTATGCAGATTGAATGTAGAGAAAGAGAGGGGAAAAGTTAGTGCAGAATATATTCATGCATTTTGTCATCTGGTGTTTAAGAGCATGTCTCCTTACCTATACCCCCCCCACACACACACACACACACTGTACTAGGTTTTAAGAAAAATAATAAATTAATGGACAGCCTTTGTCACCAAAGAATTCAGTCTAGTTTCAGGATGGCAGGAATGGGCCCTGGGCAGGCCTGCTGGAGGGACAATGTCCCTGGGATATGGACCCCTGAGTCACTTAGCCTGGCAGTAAACCCTTCGGCAGCTGCTGAGATGGTGGCTCTATTTTGTCCCCTGGTGATGCGTGGACAGGAAGGGTCATTGGGAAGAGCCTGGACTCTGACCACTGCAAAGCACCGTCACGAGGTGCGCGCTGCCTCATGCTGAGTGTGTTATGTGTTTCATTCCATGCACTTTTCTTCCTCCAACCATTGCATCTATATAACATTAAAATGGGTGGTATTCAATTTATACACACAGGGGCTGAAACAAATGGTTTTGCTCAGCACACACCCCTACCCTTGAGTGAAGCACTTTGAATGGCATTCTCTTCGTAGTGGTGACTGTGGATGGATGGAGCACAGGTGGTGTGTGGTGACGGGTGGGCAGGAGGTGACATGTGGGATGCTTGGATCTCAATTTGGTCTGTGGCTGCACCAGGCTTCATGGTCTCAGGGCTGGCTCCTCTGTATAAAGGAGGCAGACGTAGATTGCCATTGGCCAATTTTTGTTTCTTTATCTCTAGCAGGTCATATCATATTGATTTTATTAACTAAGAATTTTTTACTCTCATTGAATTGCTAGTCCAGACAAAGTCCAAGCTTTCATTCTAATTCTGGAAACATATTTCCTGAAGACTTAACAAGAAAAGTAATATATTCTGGGCACCAGACCCGAGGAGCTAACTTCCCACCCTGATTGCAAAATAGATTTGTTAAACATCTGTAGTAAAAGGTCTTATTTTTCTTCAAAGTGCCACTTTTCTCTTTCCTTATTTACAAAGGATCATTGGCTCCTTTTTAGAAGAACTAGTAAATGCCCTTACAACACCCCCCATGATGGTCACATAAAGTCTCGAGCACCAAGGAGTCTACATGAGACTTGAGCTACGTGAGGTCCAAGTATGGTCTGTCTGACTACTTGGGCACCACAGATCAATGTGACAAGGGTGGCACCTGGTTCTGGTCACTCCAGGTCTCTTCAGAGAAGTATGCAGTGCAGGGGAGGTCAGTAGCTTGACTGATTGTTTCTGTCAAAGCTGGTACTATAAATATTAGTTAGATAATCTGTCTACTTGGCATTTCAGTTCTCCCTAACCTTGGTGCTATTTTGAAGTGGATTCTGGAGGTGATGGAAAAGGAAGTGAAATATGTCTGTCAGGACCAATCTGATCCAGTCACTACTGTTTGAGAAAGGAAGCCATTTGCCCTAAAACATTTGAATTCTACAGTTGGGACTGACCATGAACGCTCACTGTTCTTTGTCGAAACTGGAGTTTTCTAGAACCCCGATTTAAAATGTTACTGGACATAAGTATATAAAGTTATACAGGATAAAAGTCCCGTGTTAACAACTGTCCATGTTTCTTAATGTTGAATCAGAGTTTGATGCACATAGAGACCAAATAATTAAACATTAATTACTGAATGGCTTTGCTATACATGTTGTAACACAAAATACTTTGTAAAAAACAAACCGTGAGATTTGCTAATAACGCCAGGGAGAAAGCAATGTTTATGGCCCTATCCCAGCCGAGGATCAAGCCCAACACGAACTACGTGCTCAGTCAATACGTGTTGAATGAATGAACTGAACGTCCTGTTTTCAAAAAGGAATTTGATTACCATTTATCAGTTCATACACAAATGGAAGTCCAGCATCAAAACTCAAAGGCTCCGTTTTGCTCCCACCAGCATCTTACATTTTGATGTAGTCTTATAAAATGGACAAACAATAGTGAGGCCCTTCTATGTGCCAAATGCTGGTAACACTGAAGGAACTGTGGCGAGTGCTGTCAGAGGAGTCAGCGTGGTACTCACACCGCCAGGCTCGCCGTGCCTTTGCAGAGGGGCCCTGGGTCCTGCTGACAAACACACAAGCCCAAGAGGAAAAACTGTCCACAGGGGTATCTGCCCGTCACCAGAAGGTAAGCATGTCAAATACAGGGCTCCTTGTGTTTGTATGGTCTCCCTCCACACGTGCCTGTCTCACCTGCTGTCCAGCATCCTTGATGATAACGCATGGCTTTGCCTCCCACATCTCTGGGTTGTCTCCATTTCTTATTTTTCCAATACGTCATCATAACCTGTGTAGTTCCCTGATGGATGGTTCTGTGCAGCACCCACGGCAACCACCATAGGACAGCCTCTGACATGACACCAGCGGGTTCCCCACCCAACCCTCCCTCCCAACTCCGATCACCCCCCTCCAGAAGGGTTGTGACCATTTCATCCAGTGTGGACACAGGCACTCTATGAAGTGGTGTGATGGCACAGAGAGAGGGAGGCTGAGATGTCAGCTGGGGCAGACTCGGGCCACAAACACTACCCCAGAGAAACGGGCTTTAACCAAAGGTCAGTGTCTTAATGCAGTGTTGTTGGTATTATTATTGTTTTTGACGTTCCCCAGCCACGTGTGGATGGCAGCTGAAGTGGCTGCCTTGTCTACATACGGGCGCGCCCGGGGCCCCTGGGTCTGGGTCTGGGTCTGAAGACAGGCCCTCTCTGCTCCGTGGCTTCCAGCTCACGTACAGCCCATGGCCCACGGCTGGGCATGGGCTGCTCTGGACTCTTTCGGATGCCCATGAATGGATGGACTGCATACTGGATGTTAACGGTAACATCAGCATTTTCATAACTCCTCGAAATGTGCAAGGAAGATGGAGACTGCGTGTTACCTGCTGACGTTTTTCAAATTCCAGCTTGATCCTGGACTTGATGCAATTGCACGTGTCCTGGTAGGTCTGCTGCAGAGCGAGCTCCATGAGATGCTTGTGGTACGCTCCCGCCAGGTTCCCACAGATGAAAATGATCACGTTGGCCAGGATCTGCGGACAGAAAGCGCCAGTCAGTAGGCAAGTGCGTCTAGTCACGGGCAACCCAATGCACAGCAGCAGCCATCTTCCCAGAGACGCCTCTGCAGGAAGTTAATTGTATTTCTGTTTCCAGACATCTGTATATACGTAACAGAAACAGCTATTGCCTTCAGGGATTCTGCCCCGTTCTGGGATCCGTGCCCTTAGAGAGATGACTTACCGGTCTCTGCCTTGTCTTTGGACTCGGCATGTGATCTGCTATCATTAATGCAACGCGGGTGGGAGTGACCAGGTGTCACAACCAGCCCAGGAGACCTGGCATGTTTTGAGTGGCCCGTCTGTGCTTCTTGGGGAAAAGGACATGCCATGACTAACTCACTGGTCCCAGGAAGACGAAAGTCTCGTGGAGCAAAGTTGTCCTGGATAGCCCCCAGTTTACTACAATGTGCCACTGAGATTTCATGGTTGTCACAGCATTTTTCGATCCTAGGTGAGTGATACAGGCTACCTTCACACCAAAACTGTATTCACTCAGCCTGTATAAGTGATATCCCCTACTACCTTTTGTTTACATAAAAATGTGGTGGAGTTTTAAAACCTATAACTCACCACTCTTTGATGATCAAAATAATTCACATCCACAAAGCTTTGGTGGGGAAACAGGAAAATATAAAGAAAACCTAAAAAGAACCTATATTCGCCCTTCCCAGGAAGACCCCTTTGCTATCCAAATGTCCTTATCCCCATTCCACATCCCTCTGTATTCTCAACATTTTTGCCATACTTTGTTTTGCCAAGACCTCTGCCTTTTTCAAAAGGACTGAATTCATTCTGATTACAGTGTTTTGCTTTGCTTTTTAAATCTAACATTGAATCAGAATTTTTCAGATCATAAAAATCCTTTGGAAACAGAATTCTGAATGCTTAGCTATTCCGTTCTGTGACTATAATTTAGTTATGTCCATGCTGTCCATCACTCACTTTGTTGGGATTCTTCGCATGTGCATAATATTTCAGTGGTCAGTCGTGTGTATAAAGCTCTGGCTTCAGTTAATCATCTCCATGGGTTCAATTAGTAAAATACACTGAGTCGGAAGCAATGAATATTTCTAAGTTCTTAATACATATTGCAAAATTGCCCAAAGGAAATATTCTATTTATATTCTCACCAACAGTGAATGGCAATGGTGCTGCCAGTATGCACTTACTTACCAGCACGCTTTTGATACAGAGGTGATAACGCTTACCGTATTTGCCGGCGTATAAGACGACTGGGCGTATAAGACGACCCCCTAACATTTCCACTCAAAATACAGAGTTTGTTATATACTCGCCGTATAAGACTACCCCCTCTTCCTCACACCTTCCACACACCAAATAAAAGGTAAAACAATATCAGATTTGATTTGGCCCACTGAAGTGCAAACAAGCGTATTGTATTTCGTGTCACCACATAACCGTTTTGGCGATGTTGAGCCACCATGTCTGCTACATGTTTTTCGAGTTCTGGCCAGTGTGGGGTGCCTCTTCTTAATGCACACTTACCCCTTGGCATACTCTTTAATGCTTTCTCATTTGATTTCCAGTCCCGAACCATCTTTTCTGTTACTCCATATTGTCTTGCAGCAGCACAATTATTATTTTCCTTATCAAAGTTTATAACTTTCAGTTTAAAATTTGCATCATACTTCTTTCTTTTGGCTGGTGCCATGATAGGGATGATAGGGGTCTGACTGGTCGACATTTTCTATGCTGTACTGTACAATGGTGCAGTATTGTGGTTGGCTGTTGGCTGTATACAAAGCCTGATTTGATTGGTCCCTGCTCCCTGTTTGCCCGCCCTGTCACTATAGCAGTCTGGTCCACCCTTGCATCAGCATCTCCCTGGGACCTCACTAGTGCGCAAGTGCGAGCTCTTCAACATTCTAACAGGCACCATGATAGCGCAAAATCACGAATCTCCAATGCATATGTAAAGAAATATACGGTAACCCGAATTTTCCACACTCGCAAAATCGCACACAGCCGACCATACACCCAGTATGGTATCGCGATTCGCGATTTTGTGCTATCATACTGGGTGTATGGTCGGCTGTGTGCGATTTTGCGAGTGTGGTAAAATCGCATAACAGCAAAATCGCATAACAGCCGAGCATACACCCAGCAGCGCTGCTGATGCCTGAACGGTATGTGGAATGAAGTGGGCGGGCATCGGGAGGCCACTATGGCACAGGGCAAGCACTATGGGCAGTCTATATGAAGTGTACCTGGCGTATAAGACGACCCCCCACTTGGAGGCATATTTTTCAGGGCCAAAAAATCGTTTTATACGCCGGCAAATACGGTAAAACCGATGGCGCCTGACTTCCGCTCTTATGTGTTCAGAGCTAGACTTACAGGTCTAGCAGGGGCTGCGTGGTCTCTCCTGGATAAATGCCCACGGCCCCTCCTCCCCACGACCTAACTTCTCACCAGTCAGGTCAGCTGTGGCTTCCACAACAAAGGCAGGGCATTGCTTTCCAAAAGCACTGTGCCCGTGTCTAGCGGTCTCCTAGTAACATGTCCCAGCTCATCCCATCAGTCACTTGATGGGTGAGCATGTGCGGCTGTGGCTTGAACCCCCGCTGGGGAAATTTTCATTCCTATGCCTTCCAGGTCCCCTGTCATGGGAACAGTGTAATCTCTCTTCCCAGTGAGAGCAGGAAGGCTGGGAGAAAGACTGGACACCATGCAGCCTGTCCTCTGCGCCTCTCAGTGGGGTCTTCCTCTGAGGAAAGTGGTCACACTCATCTCCTCTGTCCCCAGCCATGTCGTGAGCCTGGTGGGCCATGTGCTCCTGTGCTGGGGGCCAGAGGAGACGGCTGATTCAGGGGAACAGCGGCAAGTCCATGTGGCCCAGACCACAGCCACATCCTCCACACACTTGTAACGGTGGTAAAGGTGACGTTCTCCGCTCCACCTGCCTCGTGCCCTTGTCTGCCCCTCCAGGACACAGATGGGAAGTGGAGTGTTGATTATTAGCCTCCTAAGGACCTAGGAAACCCATTTGGGGCTGGAGGGTCAAAGCAGGACATGGGGAGACTGATGGGGAGCTGTTGTTCAGGCTGGAAGGGGCCTCCGCACTGTCCCACCCACCCCCTCTTTCACAGGCACTGGAGGTGGAGAGTTCCCTGCGCTCACCCACATTCTCACAGCAGCCCCCGAAAATGTTCTTTTATGCATCCATATTGCATCTGTCCTCCAGTGTGATGAGTAAAATACCAACTGTGGGTACTGTGCTGCGTGTATGTGCCTGAAGTGTGTGTGATACATGCACGAGATGTGTACATGTGTGATATCTGTATGTGATCTGCAGATGATATAGGATATGTGTGCACATGATATGCATGTAAGATTTGTGTGGAGTGTACGGTGTGTGAGATATATGCTCTTGATACATCTGCAGCTGTATGTCCGGGATTTGTGTGTGCTATGCATTGTGTGTGTGGCTTTTGTGATAGGTATGATGTATGTGTGCATGCTCTGTGTGATTCATGCATGTGATGTAACAGGAGGCAGCTATGCCCCTGCCCAAAGCTAGGAGCAGGCAGCAGTCTACAGTGTTCCCTCCAGACACTTCTATCTGCACAAGCTCTGCTCCTTCCCACTGCCATACATTCATACGTCACCTCTGTCAATGTCAATCACGTGAGCACATGGAAACCCTGGTGATTCCCGGCTTCCGAGCTGAGGTCGGGTCCTCCTCTAGCTGACGGAAGTGCATCTGAGGGCCGTGCCCAGGGGCACACTGTTAATTAAGCCCTGCCAAACTTTGCTTCTACAAAACAGCCATCTACCTTGCTAAAGAGTCTTCCAACCTTGTCACTGCTTGGTTTGCTCTGAAGAACAGTGCACCAAAGAATGCAGGCGACGAGACGTGCCAACACAAACCAGACGGCTCGGAACTAGCAAATACTGTCTCTTTCCTTATTAAGTGCAGCTGAAATAATAATAAAAATCACAGTGCTTATCTATGAGAGCTTTTTATTTTCCTCTTTAAAAAATGCATTCAAAGCGAAAATGTAAACATTTTAGGAAGCCAATTCCTCCAAAATAAAAACCAAATGCAAACAGCAGAACTGAATGAAGCCATCACCTTTCCCAGCTTCCGAGTGTGGGCACTCCTGAACAACACTGCCTCTTCCTGGCACAGTGCACCGGGCACTTGGCATTGTCATAGGACTTAAGGAAAAGCCTTCTTTCGTTCATTTCATGCTGGACTCTGCATTGCTTTAAGCAGCATGCAATTCGAACACTTCCTGGCTATCGGTAATTAGAAAGAATGCATTTAGCAATTCGGATTCAGATGTGCAAAGGAAAATCCTTAAGACATACACTACTTAGAGTTTTAATGCCAAGTAACATATGGTATTTCTTTTCTGATAGAAAAAATCATCAAGTTACAATCATTTTTTTTTGTACCTGGTTGCATCTTGAAATACCATACTGTAAGGTTAATATTATAGAATTGGTCCTGGTATCCTAATAACTACACAAACTTACAAATATGACTGATGTCCAAAAGTATTTTTCTTTCAAGAGGTGCATCCATATACTTTGTATAAAATTGTACCGAAGACTTTGTATAAAATCGAGGGCACCAAGCAAGTGATGTGGTTGAGGTTTTCTTTTCTAAATATTGGGTTGTCGGAAAAGTGCATGTTTGCAACAAAAAACAGAAAAAAAATACGTCATGACTTTTCCAACAACCCAATAATAGCAAAGCATGTTATTTATTTATTTATTTCAAAAATAACTTTATTGGGGAACAGTGTGTTTTTTCCAGGACCCATCAGTTCCAAGTCAAGCTGTTGTCTTCAATCTAGTTGTGGAGGGCTCAGCTCAGTGGCCCATGTGGGAATTGAACCATCAGCCTTAGTGTTATGAGCCCCACGCTCTAACCACTTGAGCCAACTGTCCTCCCAAAGCATGTTATTTTCTAGATGGCTGTTAAGCAGAACACACACACACAC